GAGAGGTGAGAATCAAAGCTTTGGGCAGCTTAGTGTGCTTGGCTCTGTCACCAGTCCAAAGGCCGGATTTCGTTCTGGGAGAGCTGGATGTCTTTGAGCTGCCAGCAGGACAGGGAAGCTGATGAGAACACAAAGCCAAAAAGTAAAAATCAAGGTGATTAGATTTAGTCTCATCAGGAAAAGCTAATTAAAATAACACATTTTGGGGAGATGGTCTGGTTTGCTGCATGCTTCAATGTGGAGCTAAAGGCCAGAGCAGTTAGTGATGAAAGATGACTTTATCCTGGTACAGCTCTGGGGATCTCATGTCCTCTCCTCCAGGGCATACAGCAAGCTGAGAGCCTGCAGCTGTTGCAGCAGCCTCATGTTCCTGACTTTGGATCTAAAAGGGCATCTGCCTCAAAATTTGGCAGTGTGGGAGGGGAGAGTGGGATATGAGAGCTGTGAGAAATCCTTTCCAAAGTGTTCGTTGGTCTTTAGGATCAGAAGCAAAACAAGGTGTATCAGACCTAAAATCTTACCCTCTGACCTAAAATATCTTACTTTAAGCAACTGAGTAGCTTCCAGTTGTGTTCTCTACTGTTGTCAGATTATTAAAGATCATTTGCCCTTTAACTTCCTGTACAAAATCAGTTCTGGCTGCCTAAAAAGCTTGACTGAACTCAGCAAATGTTTTGGGACAGCAGGAATGAGAAACTTCAAGTTCCTTCGGTGCTTCAAAGCAAAAAAAAATGCTGCTCTTTGAATGCCAGTGTTCATGTGGGATGTCAGGAAACCTTCACTGAAATGTCTCTCTGTAAAATATTGTGGGCACGGGCCCTGAGGTTGAGGAAGTGCCCTTAAGCATGTGCCTGTAGGGATTTTCTTGTTGTTTGCGGCAAAGGTTTAGGTTTATGTAAATTCCTCAGGAACTAGAGCTGGCTGATCAAAGGAAAGGAAAAACCTGAGCTCTGACTCCTGCCCAGGTGAATTTAAAATGTGAAACTTCATCCAAGCAGAGATTGGGAGAACTTGGATACGGGGTAGGTTTTGGCCCTGGGCTGTAGGAAATGCACAGAAGTTGTATCCAAGCAGAACTTGACCTTCAATATATGGGGTTAGTTTTCTAACAACTAGATAATTTAAAAAAATAGAAAAAGTTTCCTGTTTGCTTAGTAGGTTGCATCTACATCTAATTAGGAGAGTGAATATTTTCTTCTCTATCTTGTAATTTCCCTTGAGTAGCTGAAAAAGTGCCATTTTTTTTTTTCCATAAGAAAGATTGATTCATCACAGAAGGTTATAATTTTTCCAGTGTAGGCTTTGGGAGGGTTGCTCAAGATCTTGCCATGCTGTCAGATCAAAATGTCACTAAAACCAAATTACAGATCAGGCTGTGTTATTTAATAGAATGATGGCAATTGTAGGTTAAATTGTTTTCAAGTACAAAGATTGTACTTTTGTGATGTTAAAGCACATCATGTGTGTTATCTTCTGGATTAGTCTCAGAGAGTGCTGATAGAAAACTCATAAAACGGGAAGGGAAAGTTTATAAGGCCAAGATAGAATCGTTATAGGTGTTACATGGAATGATAAGGATTAGTCATTGACTGCTGTGTTTATTGGGTTGTTGCTTTTAGAACTGCCCTTTAATTATTATCCTAATTAGCACTTTATCCTTAATTTGAAGTGATCTAAGGGTTCGATGCCAGCACACACCTCCTCAGCCAAAATACCTCCGAGTACAGCAGAGCAGAGTGTGGGGAAAACCCTTCAGCTGCCAGGGAGTGCAAAATGTACCAGGAGAAAACTGGGGCTGGGGGACCTCTAAATCCAACTGAGTCCCCCAAAACCAGGGCTGGGATTCCCTTAAATCTGACTGGGTCAGACTGGGGCTTGGGGGGCTCGCTAAATCCCAAACCAGAGCTTGGGTAAACCAGGCTGGGGACCCCCTAAATGCAGCTAGATCCCCCAAACCGGGGCTGGGCTCACCCCCAAACCAGGCTAAATTTTACAGAGTCCCCCCAAACCAGGGCTGGGGTCCTTGTACGTCTGAGTAGGTGTCCCCAAATCGGGTCTGGATCCTCCTAAATCCCACTTGGTCCCCCCAAACGGGGGCTGGGGTCCCCCCTCAGCTGAAGGGCCCTGAGGGGGTCCCGGGGGCCCCCCCCCGGCCGCGCATGCGCAGGCGGCGCTGCCCGCCAGGGGGCGTGGCCGCAGCCCCCGGCCCAGGAGGGAGGCGGCGGGAGCAAGATGGCGGCGCGAGTGCTGCTGCGGGGGAGCCTGGCGGGAGCGCCCGCCCTGCCGCGCCTGCCGCCCGGCGCCGGGCTGGCCCTCAGGTGAGCCCTGAGGGGGCGAGGCGGGCGGGACGGGGCCGCCGGGGGAGGCCGCGCGAGGAGCCGGAGCCGCCCGAGCCACCCGGCGCCCCGCCGCGCAGAGCGTCCCCTTCCCGGGCTGGAAATGGCGTCCCGCTCGCGGGGCAGCGGCCGGGCCTGGGGCGGGGAGTGCGAGGCGGCGGCGTGTCCCTCAAGGTCACGGGCCGCAAGGCCGGCCCCTTCCTTCCCTCCTCCGAGTCCGCCCCTGGGTGGGAGGATGGCCGAGCCGCCGGGACCAGGCGGCCGCCGGTGCCCGGGCTGAGGGGGCACCGAGAGCCCTTCCCTGCGCTGACGCCTCATCCCCTCACGGACCCCACCCCTGCATGGACACCCCCACACGGCACCGGGCACCCCACAGCCACGGCTTTCGGGGTGTCCAGCCGCGCCGCACACGTGGAATCCTGGCATTGAAATACCTGGATGCTGCGCACCGGGCTATCCCTCCAGGATCAGGGCGTGCAGCTGCTCCCGATCCCAACTCCTCCGAGCAACAGGGTGCGCAGGCAGCAGCGGCTCCTGTCAGGAGGCACAGCCCAAAATCCGTGTTTCCCCAGCGCTGGGGTGCGTGACTGCACATCCCGACATCTTCCTGCCTTCACCGTTCACAGCTGCTCGTAGAATCCCCCTGGGAGTCAGGGCTGGGGCATGCATGCTTCCCATGGGAGCTGGGATCCGCACCCCTCTCCCGGTGCCAGGGCACACAGAGAGGCACATCCCTCAAGTTTTGGGGTGCAGAGATTTGCATTTCTGTGTGCAGGGGTGCCCGAGGTGCACACACACACACACAGCTCCTAGGCACATTCAGGTGTAGGAAGAAGGCATAGGGCGATGGAAACACAGGAATTCCCAAGCTAGGATGGATCTACACAGATTTTCCTCCTTTTCTTTGAAGCAGTGAAAGCTGCTGCCTCAAGCCTCAGAATAGGCAAGACTAAAAGCATCCCTGCAAACAACTGTGCAGGGAATATGTTGTGAGGTTTTACGTGCATGTTTCAGGGTTATTTTAGTTTCAAATAAACTTTGTTTAGACCACAGATCAAAACCTGTCAAACGACAGACAAATTGTTTTTCTTATACTTCCAGGCAGGTTTGGGTTACTACAAAATCTAAATACTTGACTTGGTATGTCCCACCCAGGTTATATTTTGTGCTAAAGCAGGAGCTAAGTGTAAAGAAGTGTTTTCCCTGACATTTTAAATCTAATCTAAGCAAGCCATTCAGTGTTAGCCTTTTGTGTTCAGAGCCCAACCCTTGTAGCAAGAAAGCAAAGCCCACAGTTAATATTTGCAGGTTGAGAACTTGCTACCAAAGATAAGTTGATGCTCACAGCTGTTTAAAGACCTGGATTCAGTCCCTGCTCCTCCAGAAGTAATTTTGGGTACAGATTGCCCAAATAATTGAACCAGTGATCAATTCAGGGCTTTTTGGTTTGTGAGAGTCTGGGGTGACAATGGTATTTTAGGATATTGATTAAAAATCAGGCCCTTGAATGTCAGTCTGGGTGCAGTGAACATCTGCTTTAATAAACTCAGCCTGTTACCTTTATTCTATATGAGGTGTATATTTAGTTGTGATTTAGTCAGTGCTCCTGAGGAGCTTTACAGCTGCTGGGAAAAAGATTTTCCATAAATGTAAAGTATTACTCATGTCATTGTTTTGAAAATTAGCCATACCTCCAGTTTTAGGTGCAGTTTAACATTCAAGTCATGTGATTCTCTTAATAGCAAAGAAATTTGCTTTTCTGAGTTATCTCTGTAGCTCCAGCTTACTTCTGCTGCTGCTGAAGTTCACAAAAAATGTGATTGCATCAAGATTATTTCTCTCTTTCCTCTTCAAAGTTTGCTGCAAACAATGATCCTCATAGATGAGTTTTCTAAATATTACTTTGCTGACTTTGTTTAATAAAGGGGAGGGAACAGTGAGAGTTTACAGGTCTGAGTATTGCAGGAATGGGCTTGACTTCTGACTCCTGGAGCCAGTGAGGGTTTAATTCAAGGGAGCTTTTTTAAACAAAACTTGAATTTCTGAGGTGGGGTTTAACCCTGTGCTCTGAGCTCGGAGGAAGCTCTGCTCCAGCAGCAGCCTTATCATGGAATGCCCTTCAAATGCCTGCCCTCAGGAATAGCTGCTTGGCTTCCAGCACAGCCACAAGTTTGTGTGTGCGCCCAGGGCAAGGAGAGCACCGTTTTCAATAAATACACAGAGATTTATACATTATTTCTTCATGCTGAAGGTCATCTCAGCTGTGGTTGTTGTTTCTCTGCTGTGAAGTATTTTCCCTCTCCTCCATCCTGCTGCCATGGGCAGAACCAGGTCATTATGTTCTTTTCTGACACCAAGATTAAAAGGTGGATTGTTGTAAAAAAATTGCTTTTGTGTAATACAGGTGTGTCCAGGGGGATATTTTCCCAAAGGAAATTGATTTTCTTTCCATGTTTTTTTCCCCTGGAAGAAAGCTTTGGGCTGGAGGTCCAGCTGTGTTCTGGATCCCCAAGGCAGTAATTAAGGGTGAAAAGTTGACATCTGAGGCAGGAAAAGGCTGAGATTTCCAGCTTAGAAGTAAATATATGTGGTATAAGTACCACATTTAATATTTTAGTATTTCAGGAGAAGCTTGTGACACAGTTAATTTTTTTCACTGTGACTACGATGAGGCTATTAAAACAAAAGCAAATTGAAAGAAGAGAAAGAAGCAAAACCATTTGAGCTTGTCAGACATTGTAGTGGAGCAGTTAAATGCATCAGATCTTGTCCTGGTCATCTGGAAAAGACAAATAATTCCTTTAACACATGGCTTAAAAACCACAGTTATCACTTGGTCTGTATGCTCTCATGTAAAGGGAGGTGACACTATTTTAAAAGTGTACTTGGAGAAGCTGAATAAAGATTAGATAAGAAAAGGCAGTGAAAACCTTGTGTTTGAGGCAAGGAAAACATGGATGTTGTACAGAGAGCCTGCCTCGGTGTCCCTACCTGATGCAATTGCCAGAATCCAGAATTGAAGTATTTCCTCACTGGTTATTTCCTACCACTCTTATTTTTTTATCCCAAATTAGTCTTTCGTGCTATTTTTCCTCTTGAAAGACATTTCCCTTTCCCTTTTGTAGAGCTGTCTTTAAGCAGCACAGGAACAGATGGCAGTTCCTTTCCCTTTTACACTGTGCAGTTTTCCTTGTGCACGTTTTTTGCTCTTTTTCACTCCTGTTTACACCAGGCCAGACCCAGCCCTGGGTTAAAAGACAGTGGGTTAAAAGTGGTATAAACAGGCAGCAGAAGCAGCCATTGCACAGGGAATAACCATGGATAAAGTGGATAAGTGTATTTAGTGAAATGAATAAATCTCAGTGGGGACGAGCTGCCTTTGCCTCACTGGGAGAAGCTCTGTGGGAAGTTTCAGCAGTGTGTAACTGGAGGTTGAGATAGGATAATTTCCATTAAATCCGTGGCTGCCTTGCCTGCCTGCTGGGAGTTGCAGAGGCTCAGTGGCCTGTCCTTGTTCCCCACAGGGGACTGGGCTCCTCGGCCCGCAGCGCCCGCGAGGACAGCTGGTTAAAATCCCTCTTCGTGCGCAAAGTGGATCCCAGGAAAGACGCCCACTCCAACCTCCTGGCCAAACGAGAGACCAGCAGCCTTTACAAGCTCCAGTGTGAGTGATGGCTTTGTGTTCAGCAGCACCACTCCTTCCCTCTGTCCCTGCCTGCCTCACGGCCCTCTTGTTGTTGTTGCAGTTCACAATGTCAAACCTGAATGTCTAGAAGCCTACAACAAGCTCTGGTAAGTGTGTGAGTTCTCTTTTCACCTTTTAGACATGTTGATTTGATCTGAAAATTGGCAGATACCATAGTTATGTAGAGGGGAGGTGACAAAAATCTGCTTTTTTTAGGATTTGGTATTAAATAGATTTTATGAGAAAGCAAAATGTCCTGTCCTCAGTTCACCCCACTTCCCTCTTGGCATTGTCATTTCCTAAGCTGCAGCTGAGGATGATCCCTGTTGTGAGAGCTTTGGTGACATTTGCTGGAGCAGCTCTCCCTCTTCCCTGAGTGGTCTTAAAGTTCCTGATCCCTGCAGGGAAAGGTGGAATGTTGGCATTCCCACTGCAGCTGCCAGGTTGAGGATGGCTTTTGTCTGCACACTGGAAGGAAAGAGAGATCACTGGTAAATAAACCTACACCAGTGTTAAACTCGGGTAGAACTTTGAGACGTTAAAAACCCAGGGGTTGATTTCCTCTCAGCTCATTTTTATCCCCCTGCACAAGTCCTGCTGCTGAGCTGCTGCCAAGGAGTTACACAAGCCCTTGGATGGGGTCTCTGCATTGGGGTGATTCCCTCCAAAGGGAGCAGTGCTGGGACAGCTTTCCCAGAAAGTGACAGCTTTAGAGCATGTAGGAATTACTCACATTTGAAATTGACTGCTTTAAGGGTAAAACTGCAGAAATACTACTCCTTTTCTGCCTCCACAATCCCCTCTCTGGAGCCCTGAAAGAACTGTGTGTTTAAATTTGGGATGGAGTGAGCCTTGCACCCAGCAGTGCTTTTCTCACTGACAATAAAAAACATTCTCAGCATAATGACAACTTTCTGCAACCAACTTTGAAGTGTAAGCGCAGCAGCTGGGCTGGAGGGAGGGGAGGAAGTCCCAGCTCCCAGTTCATGTCCTCAGCTGTCACCTCTGTGCCCTCCCTGTGTTGGGCTGGATAACCCAGAACTGTTTTTCCTGCTAGAGAAACATAAAAAGCCACTGGAACAGCATTAAATCGAGGTATTTTTAGCTTTTTTTTGTTTAAAAAATAGATAACACAATAAAGGACAATTAACATTCAGCCAGCTTGTTTAAAAGCTGAATATAAACATGTCCAATTATGCAAGACAGGGAATCACTTCTCTGCAGTAATTCATGAGCTGCCTGAATGTTGAGTGAGAGCAGAAATTTCTGTTTTCAAGGAAAGAGACAAACAACAAAGAAAGAAACTGCTGACAGCAGTCAGATAAAATCTGTGGTTAGATTGATTCTTCCCAAAGCAAATTGAAGTATTTCAGGCAAGGAGACAACTTGAATAAAGTAATAAACAAAATTAAGCCTCTCTGAACTTCCCTCCTGTCTCTCCCTAAAGAAAAAAATGAACATGTTAATTCTGTATCAAATCAAAATGAGGATTAGTCATCAGGTATTAATAAATAATGTAATGAAGATAATTACAAGAATATTTCACGAATCACTGTGGTTAAGGAGCCCTTCTGAAGAACTAAGGACAGGTTTTTTTAGGAGGTGTTCTGTAGGCATTCTTTTTTCTAATTTGCAACAGTATGTGGTAGAATTATGCAATAATTTCCCATTCCTCTTCAAAGCTGCCTTTCCAGGATCTTATTCTGCTTTGCAAAAATGAACTAGTGGTGAAACATCCGTGAGAGTGTCCTTGTAGAGGCATTTTATCATATTATTTACACTGGCTAGTGAGAAAATGTCGAGGTACAAATTGGTAATGAGATTTGCTCAAGGTTGTCTGGAAAGTCAGTGGCAGAATCCAGAGGAAAACTCATCTCTAATGACTCCCAGACCAGCCTACTTTTTATTCCTTGATACTGTGCAGAGACTTACTGCCTGTGAGCCAAACTGAGGACGAAGGGTAATTATTCAGGGAAAAATAGAAAAGGCAGAGTTCAACCAGACTAATTGACTTATTCATCAAGGCACAGTGCAGGGAAAGCTGTCTTGGCCAAGTCAGCAATCAGTAACACTTAATTTCCTCATCTAATATGGGCCACTTCTAAAGTTTAAAAGAGTGTTAGAAATCCTGGGGAGAGTCAGACAGAAATTTTGTCTTGGAGGTTTTTTTAAGGCAGTCCCCCTGTTCATTAGTGGGTGAGTTGTCTCAAAGAGCCCTGAATGAAATCAAAAAGCAATACTCTGAGCTACAGCCATTATTTCATTTATCAGATTACTGTTATTCATTCAGCTCAGCAATTGTAACTGGTTTAGAAAAGTGTGCTTTCATATTTCTGAGCATTCTCCCCTCTTTGAGGGGAGCTTTTCCTCAAGCAAAGAAAAAGTTTTCCTCAAGCAAAGAAAAGCTTTTCCTCAAGCCAAGAAAAACTTTCCCTCAAGTAAATCACCCATGTAGACTGAGTTTTCAGTGAGATATCCTAATATTTGTGTTCTTGATGTGTTGGATAACCTTTTGGATAGAAATAATTATTTAGATACACCTAATTTATTGCATCCAAGGAATACTTTATTATAGATTTCTAACAAACTGGTAACACTCACCTGAATTCTCTGTGGGGGTGTTGCCACCTTCCCCCTGCATAGCAGAATTTGGTATTTCAGCTTTCTCCTCTGCAAAATAAAGCTTGTGAATGTTCCTAGCATGATGCTGTGTTATACATTTATCAACTGTGGCCTCCCTGAAGGCAATGCAACCCAGTGTCTGTGTGTTCCTTGTTTTCAAGTCAAGAGGTGCTGCCAAAGATTCATGAAGAAAAACACTACCCTTGTGCTCTGGTGGGGACTTGGAACACGTGGTACGGAGAGCAAGATCAGGCTGGTAGGAGATAGAAGTGCAACCCAATGTAAACCCATGTGCTTGGCAGGTTTCTTCTTTTTAAATCATCTCTGTTGGCACCCAAACCCCCTGATGTGTCCAGTGAGGGGGTGTGTGCATCACTGCTCAGCTGTCTTAAATGTGCACTGCTTGCTTTTGTTGTGCTGGGTTGGACAGCAGAGCCTTCATTCCTTCAGTTTTGTCTCGTTGTTGATGTATTTTTTCATGTTTTCCAGGTGGTGATGGTTGTTCAGATTAACAGGTTTTGGGGATATATTTGTAAAATACAGTCCTATGGGCACAGCTCCTGAATATTTAGGGGTAGCTCTTGCAAAGCCAGTCTGTCCCTCCTTGGGCAGTGTAAAAGCTTTGCTCAGCCTTTCACACTGTAATTGCTGTATGTTAATGAATTGCAAATCATTCCAACCCATCTGCATTGTAAACTTAACATTAAACTTTACTGGGGGAAAGTAAAAATCTTTCTGTTCATGTTCATACAAGGATACTGCCTAACTATGAAAACAAACTGGAACTAGACATGACTGAAGAGCTGCTACAGAGGTAACTCCAAAGAGCCCAGTGTAGAGAGAAAACCTGAAAAATGCCCTGGGAATTGGAAGGAGTGGGAAGCCACAGATCCAAATCCATAGAGGTTCTGTGAGAGCTGTGCCAGGATTGGTGCTGTGGCTTCCTAATTAAAAAAATAAACTCCTGCACACATAAATGCTCCCTCCACTGCCAGCATATTGCAATATTGACACTGAACAAATGCAGGGAATTAACAGCAGATGAACCAGACAATGTCTGAGAGCCAACCCTGGAAGTTAAAGGGGAATTGGGGAATGAGGACAATTGAAATGGGAATTCCTCAGGCAAGTCCCAGTGGCTGCTTTTGGAACAGATTAACACAGGCTGGATCTGTCACTGCATCCCCAGCCTGCCTTGGAAATGTTCTTGCAACACTGGAATAAAGCAGATTGTGGGGTTTGACTTGCTCAGTGCTGAGTTAATATCAGGTGGATCCATCAAATCTGCCCTGGGGGTGAGGCAGCAGGAGCAGAGATCTGCTCTCACAGGGAAGTTCCTCCCTTCAGCCTCGTTTGTTCTCTTGCAAAAGGCACAGAGCTCCTTAAAAGGGGAAAAAATACCTTTTATTTTCCTGTGAGGTGAAATGATCGCCTCACTATACTAAATGCTTGTAAATACATCTTTCTGTGATTTATTTATAGGGGTTTATTCTGATTTATTAAAGAGGGAATGCTTTGAAAAAAAAAATTAGATACAGAGATAGATCCTGGAATTGTTTTTATGGAGCAAAATAGCAAATGTTCACTTTTCTTCTGCTTTTATTAATGTTGAGCTCAGAAATAGCATTTGCATTGTTTTTCATGTCCTACAGAAAGTGTCTTGCTTTTGTGCTGGAGTAATTTACTGAACTGAAAATCTGCCCCTCTACTGTTCTTAGATGAAATTGGTATAAAGCAGGTTTTTGGAACTAAATCATCCTCTTCAGCTAAATATTAATTTCAGTAACAGTCATGACAAGTCATCACATTTTTCTAGCACAGCAACAAAAAAAGTCATTTCAGAAATCCCCCTGTTACCCTCAGAGTAAATTGCAAAATTTTCCAAGAGAACCCCTTTCAAAAAGCAGATGATTCCATTATCCCTAAAATATTCCAGTGTGTAGTGCTTTCATTAATGAAAATCTATTTTCAAACCCGCTGCCTGGTTTCTATTTTTGTGTAATTTTGTAGTGTGAAGAGCATTTTATAGTGTGATTTTTTCATAAGGTTTACCACTGGTCTGGGACATCCCTGAAAAAACTGAATTTTTCTCTGTTTCAGTTCATTTGTGGAGATATGAGGGAGGTTACCCAGCTCTCAATGAGGTCATGAGCAAACTTCGTCAAAATAAGGTAAAAAATACTGATTTTGTTACTCAGGAGAGAGCAAAGAACAGGCAGAGCAAATAAAAAATGCAGATTTAGATATCAAAGTGTCTCATCCTTCCTGTACAAGCCCAGAAATCTCTTTGAGAAAGGATTTATTGTCACATTCAGGTTTAATTCCTGAATACTTCACGTGTAAATCCTTGGAATTCTCAGATTCACCAGGGAGAATTCCGATTCCTTTCAGGATTTCACTGTCCCACAACCCTGATAGCATTTAAAAAACCCCAATCTAAGCCATCATAGGTGCCCTGCTGTTTGTTTTTGAAGAACTTGACCCATTTCCCACATTATTTTTTAGGAATTCACAGAATTCCGTAAGGAGAGGGGTAACATGCTCCTCTCCCGTAAGAACCAGCTCCTGCTGGAGTTCAGCTTCTGGAATGAACCTGTTCCCAGAGATGGCCCTAATATTTATGAACTGAGATCCTACCAACTCAGAGTAAGTCCAGAGTTTATTTCTATCTGATTTTTGAAGCTCTGTGCTGTCCTAAAACCTTCATAGGTTTTTTATGGCACACGGAGCTTGTGTGAAAAATCTGCTTTTTGTCCAAGCTGACTCCTGAGTCAGGGCTGCTCTCAGAGTGTGGGGTCTGAGGTGAAGGCAGGCTCCAACAGGATCCTGATGTCTGCAGGGCTGGAACCCTGTGCTTGCTTTGAGGGATGCCTCAGAGGTGGTAAACAGAGCAATTAGAGATTATTTTAATATTCTTATCACTCAGAGGAAGGAATTGCCTTAATACAGGCTGGTTTCCATACAGAAACCATGTGAAAATTGTAGTTTTGGGTTTTTTTTTAAGCTGCAGCTTTAACAGTGTGTTTTGTTTTGCAGCCTGGAACAATGATTGAATGGGGCAATTACTGGTAAGTGTTGCCTTCAGCCCTGGGGTGCTCCTGGTTAAGAGGTGCAGGAAAAGCAGGACAGGAGGTGCCAGGGTGGCCCCAAAAGCACCAAACCCCAGTTCAGGGGCTGCTGCTGCACTTACACCTCTGAGCAGACTGTCCTGTGACCCTCTGAGGGGAAAAAAATGAATTTTATGTACAAAAAACCCTCTGTGGTTTGGCTTTGCTTCCCAGAACCCTTTCAGCTTGCTGCAAAAAAACTGGATTTTCAGCAGAAAGCTGCTTGGGAAGAGTGACATTTCTTCTGGGAGACTTGGTTCATCTTTCCCAAGACCACATTCAGTTTAAATCTTGGCTCTTTAAGCTTTCAAAGTCAAGTTGCATCTTGAAAAGCTGCTGAGCAGCACATTTGTATTTTAATGTATGGGTTAGAAGTATTTGAGACAGTTTTCTATTGATTATATGCTCTTGGCTGTGTCTTATTTTTAACCAGTGTAAGCTTATTCCAATTTACATTTGCTGTCCTTGCAATTCTAGTGGTTGATAGTTAAACAGTTTGGAGTATTTTCAATAATTTGGACGAAGGTGAGGACTTAGATTTTCAGACTTGTAATTTTAGATATAATTTTCTCAGTTGCAGTTATTTGAACAAATTTAATTTATATATATATATATATATTTTAATAAAATAGGCACAGCTCTATGGGTAGAAAATCTGTTTTATAAGATACAACAAGAGAAATATTTATCTTAATTTATGCAAAGGTCAGCATGAATAAAAAGTTGTATTCCACTATCATAAAACCTGTGGAAAATTAATGTGGCAAAACTGACATGACTAAAACTTAAGGATTTAGCTATAAAACCTGCTATAAAAATGCCACTTTACACTGTTCCAGCAATTATCTTTATCCTGAATTTGGTTGAAAAAGTGATTAATACAAAGTTTAGTTAAAATGTAGCCTCTAATTTTAGTGCATCCTAACAAGACACAGAGGTAAATCTTAATTATTTAGTGCTGGAAACAAGCATGGTGCAGCTTTTTTCATACTTTTAATTGCTGAAGTGTGCAGAAAATGCACTTTTAACATCCCAACTTCCCTTCCACTCTGTTTTCCTCCCCATTTTCCCTGCTTTCCTGCCCAGATGTGCAGGCTCTGATGTCTCTTTGCTCCTCTGCAGGGCTCGTGCAATTCGGTTCCGACAGGACAGTAATGAAGCAGTTGGGGGATTTTTCTCCCAGATTGGACAGCTCTACATGGTCCATCACCTTTGGGGTAAATTCCTGTTCTCTTATTTTTTTTTCTCCCACTGAATCAGCCCAGTCATTTTGCCCAGGAGGAAATATTTTTACAAAAGGCAAAGGAAATGTCTTAAAAGTTGGGGTTTAAAGTTTCTTTGTTCTCCTAAATTTTTTGATTTCTTAATTTGTTGATTTTTTTTTTTAATTATTTTTGTGTAGGCAAATTTATTCTCCACTGAACAAGAAATGAACATTTCCTGGTTTTGTTCTGTTTCTCCCACAGTTTCTGCCTTCCTTTTCTCATTAGGAGCTCAGTGTTTTTTGCTCTCAGTCCCACAACCACAATCCTGCTGTCCCAACTGATGCTGAAATCAGTTTTTTATAGTTTTATTTCAAGCCTCACACTCACCACACCTGCAGGAAGGAAAGTCAGGCATTTATTTCCATTCCTGCGTGGAGGTGTTTTGGCTTTCTCTGTGCATTCATATTCATAAACACCTTCCTATTGTTTCAACTTGAAAAACAATAATTTCTTAGAAATTACTCAGTTTTTTCTTCAGATCCCATCAATCCAGAATGTTCTATTTCAGCAGTCTGGCAGCCCTTGTGTAGAGCTGTGCCCCTGCTTTATCTTACCTGTGCCCAGGCATTCTCTCTCTTCCCCAACTCCTGTTCCTGCTGCTCTGGCAGCTTTTCCTTCTGGCAGAGAACTCCTGATTTTCCTCCTTCCCGCTGTTCCCAGCCTCCTGATTCTTCCTTGGAGTTCTTTTAAGGGATCCCTGCCTGTGCAGAAGGGAAAAGAGTCACTTTGTGCTTGTTTTCCCAGCTTACAAAGACCTGCAAACCAGGGAAGATATAAGGAATGCAGCGTGGCACAAACCTGGCTGGGATGAACTGGTTTATTACACAGGTAACCCATTAACTTCTCTGGAATGCTGGGGGCAGACTTTGGGCTGGGCCACCCTCTCTGCTCCTCAGCACATCCCACTGGGAGAAAAAGTTTTGTACCTCAGTGGGAAATGTGTGTCTGTGTCAGTTTTTAGGCTATAGAGGAGCAGAGGGACATTGCATTGAGCTGTAAAGTGAATTTTGCAACTGGTTGTACGTGGAAAAGTTGCCCAAGTGCTAAAAAAATTGCTGCATTAATACTGAATTTTTATAGCAGCACTTCTGTGGAAGAACATATTTCTGTAAATGCTTGTCCAAAGATTTAGGGAGCCAGGAGTGAAATTTACCTTTCTATTAAATGGTTACTTCGAATATTTCATGAAATACAGGAGCCTTGTTAAATGCATTGCTGGGAAAAGGGAATTTAGACTTTGGAACGAAAAGCCAGGAGATCTCCGAGATCAAAGAAAGCTGTCACAACAAAACTCCCAGAAGTGTGCCAAGCATGTCAGATTTGGGTTCCATAGGGCACATTTCAAAGGAAGTTACACCAGAAAAATGTAGGATCACTTCCATTTTGGTGAAAAGAATGGAAATATTTGTCTTCAAACCAGCAGAGAGATGATACTAAAATCATTTTTTCCCAAAACTACTGTGCTAGAGGGATGATTACAGAATGTGGTGAACTCTGTCAGTGAAATTAAAACCTCTCTCCATTTCTTTCAGTGCCCCTTATTCAGGAGATGGAGTCCAGAATCATGATACCCTTGAAGATCTCTCCACTTCAGTAAAGTCACTGATTTTCTTGTGCCTACATAGATGAAGTGACAAGTATTTGTCTTAATTTATGGTATACACTGTATATCATAGTCTGAAATATAAAAGTACTGTATTGAGCTTATAAAAGAGACCTCTTTTCTTCAGAACCCACGACCTTCTGCTCTTGGGGGAGGGAAAAAAATACCTACAGAACTGTGATTAAAAGGTTGGTGAGTTGAAAACAAGTCCAGATCTGTGGGCCAGGTCCCCAGGTAATGTGTGACCTGAAGGATTTGCAGTCTCCTGCTCCCACAGGCACTGCCCAGAGCTCAGGAACAGCATTGCTGTGAGCATTTAATGACTGCAGCTTTCCAAAACAAACGTGGGAGTGAAAGGAGGAGCTCTGGAGAAATGAGAATTTCATTTCAAATTGTGAAACGAGCGGCTCTGGGATTGCCGTGAAATCACCCCTGGCTGGTGGAGCAGGCCTGAAATCAGCAAATCTCCATTCCCAAAGCAGGCAGTCATTAATTTGGGATAATCCTGTGTGGCAGGGGATGGATTTTGGACAGAAAGGGGCGTTGCAGGGTCTCTGAGCACACATTGGTGTGGAACCTCCCCCCGGAATGAATCCCATGCAGGGTGAGCCACGCTTCCCCTACAGACACTGCCTGAACACCCTGCAGGGAGTCAATCCACTCCAAAGCATTTCCCTCCCCAAACAGCTCCAAAATCTGGGAAAAGGGGTTGAATTTAATAAGCACTGCAGGTTCAGACTCGGAGGGGGGGCTACAGTCCCCGTGGCTGGGTTGGTGTGTGAAGCTGGGGTCGGCATTTCCGTGTACCATGGTGTCCAGTTCTGTTTTGGTTTCACTTTTAGGCTAGAATGTATCCACACTTTTTGGTGTCTGCAACGATGTGAACATCCTGTAAGTGACAATAATATTCTCTCTCTCTCTCTCAAGTGGCTCCAAGAATCAGTGTAACATAACTGAATGTACAAATCAGTTCTGAATGTCCAGTTTGTACATTTCAAGAAGTTTTCAGGAAGAACATATCAGTCAATAAAAGCCTTTTAATTTTCACTTTTTGCTGGCATCTCCTATGTATTGCACCTCTTGTGTTTTCTCTCCTCTTGCGGTGTTTAGTATGGAAAATTTAGAATATTTCAGCTTAATTAACCAATATCACTTCTCTGGGTCAGGGACAGCGTTTCTCATTTTCTGTTGTCCTTCTCTAAAGTGAATTTATCATCTCTCCATCACATCCCATTTTGCTGAGTGTTCTAGAGGTGCTGAGTGCTGTGGTGATAAATACAGAACACTTTGGATTATTCTCCACAGATTCATGCTTCATTTTTCGGGTGTGATTTCTTTCCTACTTATATGAAATGCACAGCACTCGTGCCTCCCCTTGAATTTCCTCTTGAACAAAGTCAATATTTGACCTGGTTCTTGTCTGGTTTTATATTTTCCTCCTGCTGTCAGGTGATGATGGGATTTTACGGAGTCAGATTCTGTGCTCTGTCAGCTTTAAGTTGCTCAGTGGGCCAAGGAAATTATTTGAGCTGATCCTTCTTGTAAATCAGCCCTGAGCAGAGATATCACCCGGGGCTGACATTTTTCCAGACTTTTGGGGCTACTTTTCAGTTGCAGGAGGAAAAAAGGGATGCCAATATCACCTTCCAGACCTTTTTATCTCTCCCAGCATCCTCCCAAATTTCTTTCCCCTGAGGAATTGTCCTTGTAACTCTTATCCAGCAATCTCAGCCAGAGACAAACAGAAAAAAACATTTTTAGCTACAGGATTTTTCATGTTCTGATGCAATCCATGTTTTTTACCTTCACCAGGAATTAAATTCTGCCTGGCACAGCTCTTGTTGTTCAAAGGCCACAAAGTTTTGCCAGAATAAGGAATCAGAGGAGTAACTGGGTGTCCTGTGGGGTGACATCACAGAGTGCAGGTCCCTAACCCACTCCCAGGATCTTGAATTCCCCCTGGAATTCTGAATTCCCCCCGATTCCTGATGTGTTGTGGATGTGCCTCCCCTCATTCTGAGCTTCCTGCTCATGCTCTGGCTGTCCTCAGGACAGATTCATTCCTCTTCTTCTGCCTGCAGATAAAACAATTCCTGTTCCTTTCCTCACAGGTAACAATGTGAACTCCAGTGTAAACGGGTAATGCCATCTTCCCTGGCTTCCCTTTGCCTGACCTTGGTTTTCCCTGGTTCTGTGAATGCTGTTGGGATTTTCCCCTCTTAATTCCATGGCTGAGTTCAGGTTTTCCTCAGATGAGCAATCCCTCAGCATTTCTTCCAGCAAGGCTTCTGGATTCAGAACTGAAGTCTCTTCCCAGAGTTTGGAAAGTGGGGGACAGTGCCTAGAAGGGCCTCTGGCAACTCTCAACTCTTCTTCCACTGCAATGACACAATTAAAACTCAGGTTTAATTGTCCTGGAGAAGGCTGCAAACTGTCCCTCATGCAAATATATAATTTTAAGCATCTCTCCCTCATTGAATAATCACATTAAAAGGCTTTCCATGAAGGCTGATTGGCAGAAGACCCACCTGGAGCCCAGGTGCTCCCTGTGTGACCTGTGCTGCTCCCCAGACTTTGCCCCTTGGTGCTGGGATCTGTCCGGGCAAATCTGTGACACCAAAACTTTCCTCAGCCCGCTTTATTCCCTGCTGGGAATTTTCCACTATTTCACAGACAAAACAGCTGAGCCTCTCCCTGAGCTCAGCAATCCTCCTGGGCTAGAGGTCAGCCTCAATATTTGCCCAGTGGAAGGGGAGGGGGGCATTTTATTTCCAAGCCAGTCCGACCTAAAGAGCTGTTGTGAAATCCCTGGCATGGCCCCACGTTTCCATAGTGCCCCGACTGGCAGAAGCTCCTGCTGTGAATGTTAACATCCCTCCCAGGGATGTTGGCACTGGGGGAATTGCAGAGCCCTGAGCCATGTCCCAGTGCCTGGAGCTCCAGCTGATCAGCTCCATGTCAGATTTATTTCCTTTGTGGCCTTTCAATTCCATAAAAAACAGCAAACAAACTCCTTAACTTGGAAGCTGTGGGATTGCACAGGGAAACAGTGGGAGCAGAAACACTTCAGATGTGCCCTGCTCGTGCAGCCTTGCCTGAACAAAAGCAGGATTGTCCAGGAGCTGCCCTGGGAGCTGGCTGGGACTTTGCTCAGGAAGAATTTCAAAGAGCCCATCTTTAACACTCCCAGGAGTTGTGGGGAGTGCTGCCAGCCATTGTCTGTTTGGTTTTTGTGGGGTTTGCTGAAGTCTCTGCAGACCCTCCAGGGCTCTTGCGTGTCTGCCTTGCTCCAAAAAGCATCACAAGTTTGGTTCTGGGTTTGTTTTCTTTTAACCCTTCTACTTCTCTGCTATTTCAACGCTGTTGTAACTTCAAGCCAAAAACATTTGAGGGCTGCACAGCTCACTCTGGGCTGTGTTAACTCCTCTGTCCCCTGTCCCCTCCTCAGTGATGTCACAGAATGAACAGAACCAGAATTTGCTTTAATTCTGGTGGTGCTTTATTGGACAGCAGCTGTCTCGTGGCACCTTGGTTTAATCAAGGTGTTCTTGTTTCTGTTCCATCCAGAAATACGGGGTGGGGTGAAAGAGAATTGCCAGACTTCAGTTTCTAGAAAAGTACTGGGGCTCTTTGTAAGCACTTAGAAGATAAAAACCTCTGCAGATACTCAGTTTTTTTATACTAAATCATGTCATATTTACCCATCTTCCTCCTGTGTGTTGTGGGGATTGAAGGAGGGGCAGGTGTGATGTATTTTAACATGGGTAAAGCTTTTCACATCCTCACAGGTGAGATTCTTACAAGTCAGGGAAAGAAAAGTCCCACAAAAAACCAAAAAACACACTCAGGAGATTTGTCAGCATTTACCCAGTGTGTTCTCTTGGATCAGACACTAAAGAGACTCCTTAAAAAACCAGGATCCATCAGCTGGAGCTCAGAGTTCTTAGAACAGGTCAGGCTTAACTCTGGCATGGTTCAGGGGGGTTAATCCGTGTTGGAGGCAGAGGAAGGGACTGAAGTTTCCCAGAATTTCCTTTAAAAGTTGATGAATTTGCTCCCATCCCATTCCAGCTGATGGGGGTGGGTTGGTAAATGCATAAAACAATTCCACAAACACTGGGACCACTTTCCAAAATCAGCAGTTTGGAGTTTGATTGGGGTGTTTTGATGAAGGATGGGAACCACTCTATCCCTCAGCAGAAAATGTTTCTTGGCCAGGGATGAACGTTGGATCTGTCTCAGATTTCCATGCAGCTCCTGCCTCAGACAGGTCGAGTAACTGATGTAACAGATGACACCTCAGGTTCTCTGTAGCCATAATTTTAATGAACTCAGAGATATTTAGTGATGTTTTCTACCTGTTCACTTATTACCTGCTACTGAGATTCTGTGCAGTGAAAGGTACCTGCCAAACTGTAGCCTGCATTACATTACTATTATTATTGTTGTTATTGTTACTGTTATTGTTATTATTACTATTACTATTATTATTTATTAAGCAAAGTTCTTGTTTGTGGCCCTGTTCTTTTTCTGTCACCCAAAATAAGTAGAGGCATTACTGATGAAAGAACAGATGTGCAATATTGACCTGGAGATAATCCCTTAAGGTATTTTTAGCTTCTTATTTTCTCTGTTTGGTCTTCACTTGGAAGTAAATAATCAATTTATTTCTTCCACCATAGCAAAGCTTTATAAAAAATCTTACCCATTTTCATTACAACCTATTTAAGTAGAACAGTGTCATTTGCCACACGAGCCAGAGTGGAAGGTCCCCAACTCCCAGCATCATTAAAAGCTCCAGCCCACAAGTTTGCAAACAAATAAATGTTTAATGGCATTGTATAATGGATTTACAGGTGTTAAATAGATTATTTTACACGAGGATTTATCGCTCTTCCAGCTCCTTTAGCAATTCGTCGAAGTGGGTGATGTACCATTTTGCTTTCTCCTTTACTTGCTTTCTGACTACGTTGCCTCCAAATCCAATGAAGCAATCCTGGAAAAACAAGGAATGGGCACATGGATTATTGCCTGGAAGGAATGGAGTTCTCAGTAATTAAGTTTGCTTTCAAGACTGGATATGAAAATCACGGTATTCCTCTCTGCCCCGTTTTCCTTCTCATGTTCATTTCTCAGGTTTATTAACAATAATTCTGCAGCATTTTGGTTGGTGGGTTTTTTCTCAGTGCCTTGTAGCTTCCAGATTGTCCAGATGTGAGATTTTACTGAGAATCTGATGTAAATGTGATGCAATTCAAGAGCAAGTAAACATTGGCTCATGCATGAGCATCCCACAATTACCCCTCTCCTGTTTATCTTACCTCTGTTTACCTCATCTGAGAGATACCAAAAGCAAACTTTAACCCTGTCCTCAATCATTAACCAGAGCAATCATCATTTCTACATCTCACAAAACCCCCTGCAGTGAAAGTGCAGGGTTTAAAATTTCCACTGCAGTGGGTTTTTTTTGGTTGTTTGTTTTTTGGTTTTTTTTCCTTGAGGTGGGAAGCATTAAACAAATCCTGAGCTGCTTTGGGGTGTTGGGGGACTTTTGTGTGGGGAAAGGAGCTGAAGGGGAGATGCAATTAAAATCTCTCCCTGGGACATGACCATTTATAAAAGTTGTCTTTCTGGTAACTTTTTTATTAAAGAATCCAAACCTTGCTCTTCTTTTTCCCCCCAAGGATTTGCTCAGAAGGAATTCAGGATTTCTCTAATACTCACTCCAGGGGGGCAGGCTTCCATATCTGTAGCTCCATCTCCAATCATAACCACTTTCTTGAAATGGAACTGTTCTTTGAGATGAGTGATAACCTTCCCTTTCCCCCCTGATTCAGCTGTTGGTTGTGTTTCATCAAATCCTGCATATTCTCCTAGAAAACAGTGGAAGGACAAGTTGGAAATACAGGTATTTTCTTGTAAATGAAGGAACACCTCTGCCTGTGGTCTTGACTTCACTGCATGCAGTCCTGTAAAACTCCCAGCATCAGCATCCCAAATAAATAATTCCAAGGTAAGTTTAAGACTGGGGTTTCAGCCAAGTCTTCAGTGAGGGGATTTTCAGAGAAAAACAGAGACCTGTGTGGGCAGTGCTCCCAATCCATTCCCAGCAGCTGTGGTGTGAACATCCCAAAGGCAGCACCCAGGATGATGCAGTGTAGGAAACCCTGAGTAACTCAGTACCTACCGCTGTTGGACCTCTCAGTACTTACTCTTAGCTCTTAAAGCTCTGCTGGGGAACTCTGGCTTAAAATCCAGAGCAGCTCTGCTGCTGGCCCCAAAGCCACTGAAAGGGAGGTTTGTTAGAGCAGCTCAGGTAAGGAGCTTTTTCACTTGAAGGAGCAGCAGAAAACCAAACTCTGCTCTCAGCAGCTGTGACAAGTTTTACCTTTGGCACAGCTTGCAATTAAAAAGTAACAGCAGCTCTGTTTCTTACATTGAGCTGGGTTTTGGTAAGGTTTTGTAATTTTCCTCCATGGAGTTAGGTGGATTGGTAACAGGACAGTGCCTGCAGCCCAGTATCTGACAGCTGGATCAGAAAAGTGCCATTAATGAGCAGAGAAGGGAGATTTGAGGGGACTCTCACCGTTGAAGTAAAACTTGAGCCTGTTGGCAAAGACGTTTGCTGTGGGAATGTTCAGCTGCAAGGCCACGTGTTCCACAATGCTCTGAAACCCCCCGGAGACCAAGAACACCTGAACCCCTCGCTGGTGGAGTCTGCTCACCAGCTCCCTGAGAAGAGACAGCACAAAGGTCAAATGAATCCTTCCTAAACCAGCTTGGTGCTATTCCAGCCTCATTTGGGTGTGTGCTGCTTTCCAGCTCCATCCATCTCTGCTGCCCAAAGCTTTTCCCTGTTTCCCTTTGTGCACACACCTGGCTGGAAAGAGCTGGACAAAACCATCATTTCATTCCTCAACAACAAGAACTCCCTAAAACTGTTTTCTTTCTACTTTCACAATAGTTCCCTTGAACAAGTGAGAGCAGATCGTGTTCAAATTTTTTCCTGGAGTGAAAACAATGGCAAGAAAATGAATCTGGAATGCAGCAAAAAGCAGGGAATGAGATAAAAACACTGCTCCAAGATGCCAAGTGGGCTGAAAAGTGCCAAGTGCAAATGTTTTCCATCTTGGAGTTGGTTCACCAGATGCTGGACATTGATGCCATCTTTAGAAGAGGACACCAGCTACAGAAAAGGAATCCAAAGATGAAGTGTGTGACCCCAGTGCATGTCAGCAGGACCTGAAGGCAGTGAAAAGTTTCAGAGATTTGGCTCTGAAGGCAGGAAGACCAACCTGCAGCAAGGGGAGCAGGGGAAGGGGTAGCAGGAACAGCAAAAACACTAAAGACTGAAAAGCAAAGCAGAGGCTTAAAGCAGGACAGAGAAAAGGAGGAAGAAAGGGAAGGACTCAAAAGGAAAATCACGTGAAAATCAATGAACAAGGAAACTATGTTCTCTCTATAGTTACCTCTAGCTGTCTTCTACAGAAAAAAGATAAAATACAAGCACAGGATCATCTAAAACTCCTTTTATGTGCTAAAAATATTTTACACTTGAAGCTATGGTCCAATTTTGTAGTAAAGAAATTATTTTCAATACAAATTTAAATAGGGAAAGAATCCCCAGAGCTTTTCAGTTTAAATAGTTCATGTTCATTCCAAACCTCAGGACAAATGAATACACATATTTATGTGTGTTTGCTTAATGAGTACTTTAATGTTTTTAGGGACTTCAGAATGGGTAGCTCTGAGCAATGGATCCCCTAAACTGAGCCAGGGGTGTGACTGCACTCAGGAGTCAGAGAGAGGGAACAGTTACAGAATAGACCAAATTTAGGGAGCTTTTGAATCTCCTCCCAGTCCCATCACCCCTGAAAAACCAGTGGTTGAACAGATTCTTTCCCATTTAATCCTCAAGCCAGGGTTTGGGCTTGGCAGCCAAGATGCCAGCTAATATCTAAGAGTCTTTTCTTTTTCCATGGATGCTTAAGCACTTGCCATGGAGTCAGGCTCCTGATCCAAGCTCTGTACACGCCCAGCATGGAGATGGAGCAGGAAGGCAAGACAAACCAGCATCACTGATGACACAGAGTTTGGTTTATTTATTCCATCTGCTTCCTGAATACTTTAAAAAAAATTAATTCTTCTTACCTTATTCCTGGAGTTAGCTGAGGTGGGTTGTCAGATATTAATTTCTGCACTTGTTCATAGGAGGGCCGGATGAGACCTAACCGTGCTGTAAGAGCTGCCTTGAATGTCACAGTGCCACCCATGGCTCTGCGGGTCCTGGGGGACAAAAAACCAAATCAGGGACACTGCACCAGCTGAGCCTTCTCCCAGCAATGGAGTGACACAGAACCAGGTAAGAGAGGTTACACTGAATCCAAAGATTGGTGGTGTCCACTGTTAGAAGATCTCCAGGATGGGAGAAAAATGGAGCAAAGGAGGATGGCTCCATTCCCTCTGTGATGCCATTCTGGGACCATATTCCTGAGCTGAATCTAACAAAGCTTTTGCTAATAGCTTCAGCTTGTGCTTTTCCCAGGCTCGGCCTCAGCGATGGGTTGGGAGCGCTGTACCCGCTCCTCCACCTCATGGTAAGGTTTCCTCATTCACAGCAGGGTTTGGTGCTGTGCTTGTGCTTAGCCAAGTTAATTGATGAAAGCTGCTCTTAGTCTATCAAAATTATCATTAGAGAATTTATGCCAGGATAGTTTTGCTGGGTGGCCTCACAATTGCCAAACCAAGTTACTTCATCCTGCATTAACTCCACTCGTTACCCCAACCCATTTATAAACTGCAATAATCTACAACAGAGTCAAATGACTGTAAAGGATAAATTCCTGATCACAGACTAACCCCATCCCTGGCTAGTTTTGCCAGGCTCTGTGTGAGTTCCCCAGCCATACGTACATCTCTGCCACAGCATCCCCAACCCCACAGAACTTGGCGAGCTCATCGATGCCCTCCTCCCTGATGACGGTGCTGTCCACGTCGAAGCACACGGCGTCGGCGCTGCGGAAGATCTCCTTCAGCTCCATCAGGGACGCCATCCTTTTGGGAGTCTTCTTACTGTGAGGGGACAAGATGAAGTCTTTCTCTGAGTGAGAGTAGTGCACTGTTTCCTGAGCCATTGGTGCTGCTGCTCTGGTCCGTGCGAGAAGGGCCGAGCACAGCACGCTCATGGCTTTTATCCCGGCCGGAATGGCGGTGGAGGTCTGGCTCAGCTGCTGATTTGCTCCCGCCTGTTGCTGCCTACTGATGGTCACCCCGTGCTCCAGGTGGGCTGTGGAGCCCTGGGCTGCTGCTGATTTGCTCCCTGCTGCCTCAGCCCATTGATGTTCGTGGGTTCAAGGTTGTAATCCTTGGCATTGGCTGAGGCACCAGGCTGCCAAGTGCTGTGTGGGATTGCAGGGCTCTGGTTTGTCTCAGGGGGGTCTTGATTGCTCATCTCTCCCAGGCTGGGGTGTCACAAGAGATGACAACACAAACAAGTGTTGCTGCAGGACACCCAGGCCCTAAGGATTGATTGCAAACTCTCCTAAACCTGTCAACGAGTGGTTGTTCCTGAATCGGGAAGGTTTAGATCCTTTTCTACATCCTTGTTAATAAAAGATCGGACCATTAACATTGGGGATTAGCCTTTTATGCATCCATCAACCCCTTGGCCTTTGAGAACTTCACTCAACCCATCAAGACATCATATTTTCCATAACAGTCCCTGACAAATGTTTATTTTCTACCCTTTTAGATCTGTCCACTTCAATATATTGAACACTTCTGCAGATCAGAAGCTTAAGGAGTTGAGTATCTCTTACTCATCCCCACCTACCTTGTGCTTCATCCTTTCATAGGGGAATTAATTCACTGTGGGTTTTACTATCTACTAATCTATAATTTAGACACAAACAACACCTTCCTATTTATCTCACTTCTCAGATTTTTGTAGAAGTTTTTGTTTCTTCCAATCTCTCAGACATCTCTCAGAACATGTCTTGTATGATTGATCTGGGTTGCGGGTTCTTTTCCTGGGATAGGGGAAAAACACCATCAAACAGCGCATTCTTAAGAGTTATGGATGTCTTTATAACCTTTCGACTTTTGTTTTCCTCTCACTTATGGTCAAAGCGGGAACAAGAACCTTTGGGTTTATTCCCAGGATGCGGTGAATATCAGGATACAAAAGGCTTTATGAGAAATTCCCATCATCACTACAAATGTAGAGCACACCTCTCTTATCTGCTCTTGTGCACAGAATAAAAGAGAATGGTCCAATCTATCATTGAAAGGTGGAAATCTGTCTAAAGGAAACCACCCAGCCTGAGTGGTGAAACCTGTTGTGGACAGCCAGGAGCTGTATCTGCACAAGAGATTCTGGAGATGTCAATGAGCAAAGGACAGAGACAACAAGTGACATGAGAGGCACAGCTCTCAGAAAGGATTTTTTTGTGGGGTTTATTCTGCTATTATTTGAGGGTGGCACTAGAGGGGATATCCCAGAAAAGGGTTTTTACAGAGCCCCTCTGAGCTGCAGTCTGGCAGAACTCTGCCCTTGGTGCATGGACACACCATCAAACTCCAGCCTAACCTTAGCATCATGACTAAAGCATTATTTGCTGCAGGACATGTGGGGATTTATCTTCTTCTACAAAGACTGCACTGAACATGTAAGAAAAATAGTTATAAGCCATCAGCACAGCATAGAAAACAAAAGTGGCCATGGACATCAAAACTTCCCTGTGCCAGAGCCCAGCTCTGAGGTAAGGCTTGGTGGGACAGAGGCCAGTTCTGAGGTCAGGCTTGGCACTGGCTGGGCAGGTGACACGTAAATTCCACGTTTACTTTGCTTTAGCCTTGACTCTGCCTGGACTGCAGAGCGCTGTATTTGTGTTTGCAGTGAAATATGCCGGTTTTCCAAGCAGCAGGGCCGTGATCCCGGGGCAGGTGTGACATTGGCATCAGGGCTGCACTGCAACAGTGCCACACCGTGTGGGGACACTGCTCCGTGACGTGACTGCTCGCTGACAGCCGGGAATTTCGGCCAGGATACGCGGCTTTCACCTGTCCCAGAAAAATGTTATCTCTGTGAATGCACGCTGGGAGCAGGAATGATGAAATGTTCACATTTCCTTCTCTCTGAAAGTCACATTTCCCGTGCTCCTGCACGGGCCTTACAATGATGACATGAAAGCTGTGGTGGAGTTTGCACTTTGATGGACAAATAAAGAATTATTGTGGAGTCATAGTTGGAATTAAGCCTGTCCTCTCTTTATTGCAGGCAAGAACTCTTTGAAAATAGTTTCAAACTGTGGTTTATGTTGTCTAAAAATGACAAATTGGAAGGGAAGAATTGCAAAAAGTCATCAGTATCAGAGCAAAAAGAATTGAAGTTGTGTAAAACCCTCCTATGGACAAATCTCAGCTGCAGTCAGGGAAAAACAATTTTGTATTCCAGAGTGGTCCAGGCCTGTGTAAGTGGCAGAGATTAATTATTCTAAAATGCAGAACATCTGATTGCTTAAAAGTGTAAAGTTTTAATGAGATGGGAAGAAAAAAGAAATTCCCACAAATAATGGGTTCTGTTTCCATATGAAAAACACTGATAATGAATCTCTGATCATCCTACCACTGAATTTCAGGTAGGCAATCAATTCCTACCCTGAAAAACATGCAAGCAGCAAACATTTCAACAGGTCTAATATAAAATATCATGGGGGAAAGCTGGAAAGAAGAATATGGGGAAGAGAAGAATAAAGAAATGACTAAAGAAGAAAAAAGAGTGACAGAGAGAGAGAGGTAGGGTGAAACTTGAGATAAAGATGGAGAAAAAAGGAAATCACAAGGGAAAAGTGGAATTCCCATGAGATCTCCTTGTCTCCAGACTATGAAGTATTTCATTAGGCTGTTCTAAAAAAAAAAAAAATAAAGAAGACATTTTCACAAGAAATAATTCTCTTTCATAATAGACAGGGTGGAGTCACAAACAGGGGAATTATGTAAGAGCACATGGGAAAGGAAAACAACTGAAATCCTCTCTGTTTGCTGTCCCTTCAAAGAAGGGCACTTGCCTCACTGGGAAAAACTGCACCATCCTCTGTATCCACATGTAATGCAAACAGAAGCAGTAAGTGGTGCTCAGAACTGCAGGTGTTCTGGGGCTGCAAGGTTTTGATGACTTCTCAAACCCTTCATTGTGACTAGACCTCCCTTGTTGTCATATTTCAGCTTTCAGAAGTGCTGCCACACTGCTACTTTGCATGATGATCACATTTATTGCTGTTAAAAATGAAGATTAAGTGAATCTTAATGGAATATTACCCAGCACTCAGGAATATCCTTGTTTGCAAACAATTTCTGATTCGCTTCCCCATTTAACATTGTACTGAACACTAACAGAAGTTCAACCACATTAAACTGTTTATTTTGCCTTGAAGGGAAACTGCTGCTCAGAGCAAAGGATTTGGAGAAAATAGTTCTTGAAAGTTTTTTCAGGACCTTTTCCTCCTACAGCTTCTAAGAACATTCCCAGGAGTGTTTCCATGGTATGAGTTTAAACAAACCACTTAATCCTCATTGTTTCCAGTTCTGTGTCTGTAAAATGGCAATAATATAGTGACACAGCTTTTCTGTGCTGAGCTTTCATCCTCAGAATTAGCAACGCTTTGAAAGCTTTAGGGGAAAGCTGATACATTTAAGCAGATTAGTTATATTTAAGCAAATTGTGTTTGTGTTTTATATAAGTTTTAGAAGTTCAACCCATCCGCCCATAACTTTCTGTGGTTTGCAGGGTGAGAATAGGAAGATTCAGTCCTTAATCTCCTGGGTCTCCTTCTCTTTTTTTTTAAGTTTTTGTTAAACCTCCTGGGTTTTCTATTTCATTTGAGATTTTTCTTTAACCTCCTGCTCAGCTTGTAAAGGCAGTGGCACAAAGCTGCCTGCAAGTCAAGAGATGAGCTGCTCGCAGCTCCACACGATTATCTGCACAGCAGTGCCTCACAGCGAACTCATTTAAGCACCTCGTGAAAAGCAGGTGAAAAAGGGTACAAGGAACCTGTTGGATGTTGACATCCACCTCCCAGCTCTCCAATCCCCTCTCGCCTGTCCTGCCAAAATGCTGCTGCTCCCCCCGTGCCCGATTGCATCATTCATTCACGCCGCTGTTATAAAACAGGCACCACGCCGGTGCCGGGCAGCACAGGCACAAGATCCTCCTCATTTTCCCTGCTGGAAAAACCCCCCGGTGTCACGGATCTGCGAGCCAGACTCCAGCTCCTTCCGACCTGCGAGAAAATCCCGGTGCCGGTGACTTACAGGACTGAACCGGCCGTGGCTGCTGCTGCCGCTGGGAGCCTCCCGGCTACGCCAGACAGGGAGGGATCAGCCGAGCCCTTCAGCGACACAAACCCCACGCACGGGCTGAGCTGGACGAGAGCCGCATTTTGCCTCTCCGGCCCTGATAAAGCGCTGAGTCAGGCAGGCCGGGGGGTTTGTTTGAGGCTCCGGCACACATGGAGCGGAGCAGGGCAGCGGAGGCAGCAGAGGTGTGACCTCCGCAGGGGAGGAGCCGCTCCGGGCGGCGCGGGGAGCTCGCTCTGCCCTCCCTGGGCACCGGGAGCTCGGGGAAGGCTCCGATGAGCAGCAATCATCGGCAGCTTCTCCTGGCAGAAATCAGAGGCGAGTCAGGGACGCTGTTTTCGGGAGAGAAGAGAGGATTTGTGAGCTCAGATCACAGAATCACTAGATGGGACAGAGACCTTTAAGATCTTGGAGTCCAACCCATGTCCTAACACCACCTCAACTAAACCATGGCACCGAGTGCCACATCCAGTCTTTTTTAAAAAACATCCAGGTGTTTTTTTTAAACACATCCAGCACTTTATTGCTCTTTTAATAAAAAACTTTTCCCTAACATCCATTCTAGATTTCCCTTGGCAAAATGTGAGACTGTGTCATTCTGTCAACTGCTGCCTGGAAAAAGAGACCAAGCCCACCTGACTACAGGTATTTAAGATTGCAATATCTCCTCTTGGCTTAAGCTATCAGTGCATCCCTGAGCGAAGTTACACACACAAATCACATCCAAAGCCGGCAAAAGCTCGGCAGCAAAGGGAAATTCATGGGAAAAAGCTCTCTTTTGCTTCCCCAAATGCAGTGCTGTCCAAAGCTGTGGAAAAATTGCCAAAGCTGCCCGTGCTTGTGTTTTGGCATCCCACGGAAGAGCTTCCCTCGCACACTGCCGTGGGTTGGAAAATGGAAGAGTGCCAGCCCAGGAGTTGTTTGGTTCAAGGTCAAGAAAAGCTGATTTAGCTGATTTAGCTGCTTTTGTTCACTTGTGCCAGGAGTCCTGTGACTGCTGCCCGTCTGTTCTGCAC